AAAAACATACAAAGCGCATGATTATCATCTCCCTTTGTGTTTGACAACAAGTTTTGTGTTTGACAGTTTTCCTCACAAAGATTTGATGACAATAGGCTACACAGCCCCGTGTAGCCTACACAACTTAGAGCAAATCGTTGTTGGTGTATCACTAGACTAGACAACACGTGTAAGATTACCAGACTAAAAAAATTCGAGAAACTGACTCTCCATTGATCACAATTAATAACCTCATTCGTGGACATTTTAGATTGATTTGGGATTTTCTTTCCTTTGGGATCACTCTTAAACTTTGCCCACTGGATTGAAAAATAACCAAGCCCATCAGCATTCATCTTATGTTGTTTGTGTGTCCCCGCAGGCTAATTTATAAACCGCATTCTGTAATTAAGCACTCGTAGCGCTGCATTTCTGCCATTTGTTTTTCCTGAAATGCACTCCGCATGGCTGTGTTAAAACACATACGCGATGACTCCTGGTACACAGCTGCATTTCAGTGGCTTTAAGTGTATTGCTCATTTGACAAACAAATTGATTTCCCACAGGGTGGATCGTGAGGGGAAAGTAGGGTCTAGGAAACACGCTGGATAGGCCAAACAAATTCCTCTATTCCGCTCCCTCCCACTTCCCATCGTAGTCTTTAATAAGATGTCTGCTTTTTTGTTTGCCTGTTGTAAAAAAGAGAGAACTAGCTATTGATCAACAGTGTTGCATGAAGAGAACACAGTGGGGTCTCTGCAGAATGCGCTCAGCCTCCATTTAAGCTTGACCTTTGAGGCTTCGCAACTTTCTGGCGCCGATTAAAAGCACCACAAACACGAATTCACTCCACCTCCACTCACACAGATAGATACAGCCGCAAGCCAAGTCTAAAAGTTTCAAAATGAGATGGCATCTGGAGCATTTTGCTTCTTGGTTCTGTCATTCAGTGAAGTCGTCTGTGTCGACGGGGCAGCTTTCGGTACAAATAAAGTTTATTATGCAGTGCAACATATGCCAGATCTCATAACCCATTATGTGACGCTCATTTTCTCAGGCATTTTATCTAGACTGCCTCCTGTTTAAGCTTGGATTATGGTCTTGAGAGGCCCAAGGCTCCAGCTTCAATACGGAAGCCCCCACTTGCTGTTATTATGTCCATTGTAAGTTCATTATTGAACATGAGATTTTTGTTTGTTTTCACAAACAATGGTATTCAATAGAATGTTGCAAATGCTTATTTTGAACCCAGAATAATCATTTAATTGCGTACTTTTGGCCCATTTCAAACCCATAATAAAAGAAACCAGAAGAAGCCAACATTTAAAATGTAAAATAACTCTACGCTATCTCACGACCAATTCGTACGAATTCGTACGAGTGATTCAAAAGTGGCTAATTCGTACTAATTCATACAACCTCACTCGTACGAATTCATACGATTTGTCTAAACCCACGTGACGGTAATGTTTACGGGCGGGGTCAGGGGTAGATCATTCGTACGAATTCATACGAATTGGCTAATTCGTAAAATATGTACGATTTAGCAAAATCGTACTTATTCGTATGAGTGAGGACGTACGAATTGTTACGAATTAACCACCTCGTAAAATTCGTACGAATTCCCGTGAAATCGGGTTGAATAAGTTAATAATACCACAAACAAACCTGTAAGATTCATTCATATTGAATATAAGTTAGGGATAGTGTAGCCCTGTATCAGGTCTTGTATCACTCTAAAGGGGTTTAACATTTATTCATTTAGCTGACGCCTTTATCATAAGCGACTTACAATTGCTATATATGTCAGAGGTCGCACGCCTCTGGAACAACTAGGGGTTAATTGTCTTGCTCGGGGACACATTGGTGTCTCACAGTGGATTCAAACCTGGGTCTCTCACACCAAAGACATGCGTCTTATCCACTGCGCCATCACCACCCATATCGTTTATTCTGCGATAACAACCGGCTGGATGTACATTACCCCGCTTATTACACGGCTACTTGCCACATAAGTAATTAGACATGAAATATTGACTTGAGTTGAATTATTGTTATCTCTTTAAACGGAAAGCTTCCACAAATAATTCAATGTCTAGCAGGCGACAAGTTCAAACTAGACGGAAATTTAAAGGGATACAGGATTTGGCATTAAGCTTTGTATTAGTAGAAAACCTGTAGTATTTTCGAATTACCATGCTGCTTACCACCCTCACATCCCCTTGAGACGAGAGATTTATGCATTTTTTGTCTGGAAAAAATCCTCTGATGATGCAAATTTTTTGGCCATAGGCTAAAGACTACAGTCAGTAGTCTGTCCCGCATGTTCTCAACCCGCACATAGAGGTGGGATCTCACTCACAGAATGAACACATAGTGTCAGACATCTTTTTTTGGAAGCTAAGCTAGTAGGCTCTTGTTCTGTGGAGAAAGCTGAGTAGGGGTTACCATCCTCTTTTTCCCGGACGTCTCCGGCTGTCGGTATGATTATCATTACAGTCCCCCAATAATTTTATCCGTTAAAACTAATCTTTGATCGCCAAAATTAGCTTTAAACGTTTTTTCTTTTTTCCTGTGACAAAAACTCCTTCATGCTTTAAAATAGTTTGAATTAATTACTTAACTATTGTCATAGTTAATGATAAGCTAAAGCACTTCGGCACATAGACCTGATTGGCTAAAACATGGTTTTAATGTCTTTGGTTCACTGCAGTTTTAAAGAGAAAATACGCAATGGTGTTGACTGATGAATTTGCAAATGGTTTGTCTTAAAGCACATTAAAAACACCACATAGATAAACAATAAAACATTTATTTTCACCATTCACCAAAAAAGAATCATGAATTACATAAATAAGAGAATAACAATAATGATGATAAATACTATTTTGTAATATAGCCTAATGTATGTTGCTATAATAATAGCTTTTATGAATGTTTTGAATGTTAATTTTATTAATATAATTACAATTATAATTAAAATTCAACGCTGATGTAAAAGAAATTGTTCAAACAAATTGTTGTAGTTCTTTTCTTTTTAAATAAACACCAAGGAAATAAGCATATAACCTTTAGACTTTTATCACAATTTTTGGTCAACACAAAAGTATAAGCACCAATTATTTCAAAGATGTAACCAATTCGAAGGGTGTCTTTTGTCAAAACCTGGAAAACCTGCGGTTGCTCTCACAGTCATTTCCCCTTACGGATTTGATCAATACACTCTCCTCTCTATCTGCACTTCTCATTCACACTCTGAAGTGAACATCGTCACTTCAACGTACAAAACAATCCCCTGCTGCACTCCCACTGAATGTCCCTCACCATGTGTCCATGCATCTCTCCCACTCACACTTCAGGACGGCCAGTATGATTCTCCACGCAGTCTTTCGCTCATATGTCGCAACTGCAGTGCTGGTAATACGCTGCCATATCTTTAAACTTGCCATTTAATGCTTTTATGTCAGTTCGTAAAAGGATACGGAAGCCACTACAGCTCCGTGTTATGAAAACCTTTTTTTAAACTTCGTAATTATGACCCTACTGTCTCTGACGGTTTAACGATGAGATGAAATTATCATGATCCATCATAATTATGAAGGTCTCGGTACATTCTCTCCCGGCTCCGGCATAGCCTATAAATGTATATTGCTGCCACTGTGCAAGTTTAACCTCAGGCAGTGTGTTACACTGAAAATGCTATACAAGAAGAGAAACAGGGATATTCTTGAGGTGAACGTCGGTCAAACTGAACTGATAAACGGGCAGAATTATTGATATGACGAGATAATCGCTGACAGATAACTTTTCCTTTTAGTTAATTACCTGTGAAAGTCGAGGGGTTTGCGCAATTTCATGTCATTTTCAGAAAACTTTGAAGGCTCAGAATAAGAATGTTAAAGGAATACTTTCTCGAACAAGCGCGAATTAATTAATAACAAGAACCGTGATTGGTCAATTTCCATGTCAATCAAACCGTGGTTGTTTTTAATTGGGCGGGTCTTGGCCAGGATAATCTGCAGTGCACTTGATCTATGATCTGTTTTGAAGAGGTAAATAAAACGTGTTGTTTATTTTACAGGAACATACTATTTTCTGTAACACTTTATTTTACAATGTTCTTGTTAGATATTTTACATGTACGTACTATAGCAATAACAGTTCATTATGCATAATTACATGGAACTAACCCATAGCTGTCAACATTGAACATTGAAAATAAGGGAGATTTCCCGGAATAAGGGATTTTTTCTTTCTTTTACACAATTCTTACCCTTATAACTAGCCTATATGTGTGAGAGAGAAAGAGAAAGTGCGTCATTTAGAAAAAAAATTATGTTTAAATACTCAGCTTATGAGGGAAACCGACGGGCTTTGGGGAAACGGAGGGGGAGCTGCAGGAGATGATTGGGAGAGGTCTGTGCACCTTTACCGATCAGAGCGCGTGCTGACACGGAGTAGCCTATATACTCGAAGCGTCCGCATTAGCGTGGCAAAAATGACAAGTTGGGTGCGCAAGACCTCATTTCGCATGGCTGTCTACAGCTTTTTTTGTAAAAGTGCGCACGGCGCCGGGTCCGAGGATGAACTTCAAGCCAAATCTGTCCAAGCTTGTATGTCTCACACAGTCAGAGTGTAAAAATACAGGATATTTTACGGGAAAAATACTAAAAACGGGAAAGACAGCGGGAAAAGAGTTAAAATATGTGAGAAACCCTGAAAAAACGGGAGGGTTGACATAACCCTCAACCAAATCCTAATCGTACCCTAACCCTATAGTAAGTACATGTAGTTAATTAATATTACACTGTAATTAAATATATAATTACACTGTAACAATAACACCTTAAAATAAAGTGTAACCCTGTAATTATGGAAATTTACAAGCAATTTCTGGTGGAGGGGGTATGGGGGTCAATACTTTACTTTTGCTTTTCATAAGACATAAGTTGCCTTTCTAGAAAGATAACAGACAAACAAAAAATGTTCTGTACTTTTTATTTTTTTCAGTGTTTTCTCTCTTTGTCAGAGTGTGTGTGCAAATACATTTTTTTTTTTTTTTAGATCTCAATGGTAAAACACGTTGAGAGCACAACCAGGACAACCGGAAAACAGCAGAAATAAATGGAAGTGAGTCATACATCACGATTAGGGTTTTCAGATATGGCAATAATGCACAGTGACGGGTAGTTTGTCGATGTCATTTCAAGACCTTTGTTTTGAACCATTGTACACATTCATAAAGCAATTGGACTGGACACTCACTCCATCTCACTCCAATTGGAGCTCTCTCGTCTCTCCATGCCTCCCAAGAAAACACAAAACACACGAGAGGTCTAACCTCACCTTGACCTGGAGTCATTCGATATCTTCCTGAATATTCAACTTTGTTTTGTTGTGCATCTCTACAAATTCGGCCAGCTAAACCAACAGCCTGGTTGATGCACAGTCTGTAACTAACGCTGTAATTCATTTGTGTCGTGGCACTAGAGATCCATTCGTTAAGGGTGACATATATAATCTACATCAGAAGCAAAAGAAATTTATTTTGACACCGGCCTTTCAGGTTCCAGTCAGACAAGCTCAACATCTTTTTGTTTAATAGTCCACATCAAGATTTTGAAATGAACCGTTACTGGCAGTGGGGGAAAAAGACAATCTGTCCACCGAACAATATCAACACCTTCACTATTAATTACACAACATGTCAGGGAAATCAACAGGCCCTGCGAGAAGACATCGACATGCACGGTGTGGCGTAGTTGCAGTTGCAGACTCCTTTGGCACTTTTTTTGAATCGTTTTTCACATTCAGCGTGGCTTGATGCATAAATATCCCTCCACGTCGGCAGATGATCAAATATCACAGTTACTAAACTTCACCACACATCAAGAACGACACAATACACTTCTGAAATGGACGAATCCACCACATATTGTGCTGTATTTGCATAACCATGCATTTTTACAAAGCATGTGAGTCTTTTTTATTTCCCCTTCGGCTTTGTTGTATAGTGAAACACAACATGTTGGCTTACAGTACACAAGTATTACATTTGATAAAGGAAATGCAAGCCAATTTACACCATTCTCCTGTTATCTCTCCGGCAGAGGATCTTCTTGAAGGATCTTCGGAAGTCATTGTTAAAGATGGTGTATATAATTGGATTGAGGGAGCTGTTGCAGTAGCCGAACCAGAAGAAGAACTTGAAGAGCGTCTGGGGAACGCAGCAGTCGCAAAACGCCATTAACGTGTAGGTGAAGAAGAACGGGAACCAGCAGATGACGAACACGCCGATGACCACGGCCAGGACAAACGTGAAGCGCTTTTCCCGGTTCTGACGGCCCTTCCACCGGCTGGTCTTGACGGCCTGGCAGGCCTCGAGTTTGTCCACGTCCCCCGGTTTGATTTGGCTCAGCTTGGTCTTTCCCTTCGAGCTCTTCTTCTTGAGGGAGCACGGATTGGAAACCTTGTGGTCCGAGGAGGACGATTCCTCCAAGTCCATGCCATTTAACTCGCCCTTGTCGTTCGGATCGACGTTCTGATCCCCGTTGAGCTTCTCATGAGGGTCGATGTCCTTCTTCCCCGCTTCCTTTTTCCTCCGATCCCCAGGAGGCGCTCTGGTTCTCTTCTTGGCGATCTGGTAGATTCGGACATACACGAGGACCATGATGATGCAGGGCAGGAAAAACGACCCGATTGAAGAGGAAATAATGTACCATTTTTCTTTGTTGATATCGCAGATGTACCCCTCTTTCTTCTCTATGGTTATAAGAGGCGGGAAGGAGATCACGGCGGCAATGACCCAGACGATAAAAACGATGCGTTTGATTCGTTGCGGCGTTCGCTTGAGGTTGTACTCGATGGCTTGCGTGATCGACCAGTACCTGTCCAGGCTGATGGCGCACAGGTGAGTGATGGAGGCCGTGCAGAAGAGGACGTCCAAGGCCAGGTAGATTTCGCACCACACCTGTCCAAAGACCCAGGAGCCCATCAGCTCATTCGCCAGCGAGAACGGCATAACCAGAGTGGCCACCAGTATGTCGGCGGAGGCCAGCGAGACCAGGAACAGGTTCTGGGGAGCCCGGAGGGCTCGGCTCGTGAACACGGCGATGATCACCAGCACGTTGCCGAAGACGATGAGGAGGATGAGGAGCCCCACCAGAACACTCAAAGGAAGGGCCACTAGCAGGGTGTACGGCTGTTCTGTCCCATTGGTCGCATTGTCACACTCCATTGCTGAGAATCAAGATCTCTTCCTCTCACAACTGAAATTATGTATTCAGTTTATGGCACTTCATTTTTTTCTGTATTATTGTAAGCAAAAGTGACATTTTTGGTCACTTTGACATCTAAAAAAAAGGAGGAAAATTGTATTATTCAAATAAATAAGGAGAAATGGATTTGATAAGCAATTAAAAAAGTGAAATCATTTTAAAAATCAAAACAAATAATAATAATAATAAAAATGTTTTCTCATACTTTGTTTATGAAATACCATATTATTAAAACAGGAAAAAGATAAAGCAGGAATGGAGCTTACCTTAGTGTGAAGAAAAGCCTGATACGACACAAACTTTTTAAGCCATCCAAGAAATCTTCCTCAGAGTGTAACTTGTCTTTTTAAAGTCGCTCGGCGTGGCAAAAACGGCATGAATAATTCCTCGCATCTCTTCGGTGGAGCGTGTGAAGACCGCGCTTCATCATCAGCGCTCAACTCAGCTGTGCGCGCGCAGGATCTTAATCGTGTTAGCTGTGTGTGTGTGTGTGTGTGTGTGTGTGTGTGTGAGAGAGAGAGAAAGAGAGAGAGAGACTTGCACTGCTACTGAAGAGAGTATGAGTAGTGCGCGCGCTCGCTCGCGTTCTAAACGACTACCCTCATTATTCTGCTGTCCTTGAGCCACGCCCTCTTTCTCATGACGTTGCTTAGCAGCAGCCGCCAGTAACATTCAAAACCACTTAAACACTTTTTAGACGTGCCTGACTTGTTTAAATCAATTAAACCATTAGTCTGTTTTAGTGATGAGAGAGAATCAACTAAGTGCTTGTGTTCTAGTGATGCATAATCATCAACTCGATGAACAACGTGCAAACACTAGACTAAATACGATCTACTTTGATCATAAACTACAGCATATTATGCTGTAGTTTATGATCATTAAGTAGATCGTTTTATATACGCTGAGGTGAATTTCAAACCAAATGTTACCCTAAAAAGTAAAGGAATATCTACCTGATTGGATACTTTAGATCAGACTGAAGTAAAAAGATTTGCACTCACTGGGATCCTCGTGTCGATGACGTGTCCAGCGCTGAAAAACAGCTATTTAAAAAAAAAAAAAACCCTCACATTTCCAGGCTTTCCATGGCCGTGGGAACACTAAAGTTATCAGAAAACGTTACTGCAAAATAGTTTTTTTCACGGACCAGACCAGGCAAAAGAGATGAACGGGAAACTGATAAACAACGCAGAGGAAGTACTGAGTCAGGTGCGGCGAAACAGCGACACCTGCCGGAAATGTAAGATACCGCTATCAACGCTCCACAATATTACACATTGGATCAGATGACAAGTAATGATACACGAACTACTGTAGAATATAATTTACCGTAGGTTATACCGGATACTGAGTAAAATATGTTGTGGTGCATTTATATACAGTTACATATTATATATATTTTGCCCATTAGACATACATCGTGTTATGGATCCTCGATGAAATAACTGCTGTACTATTCTTCATTGGTCGTCAAAACATACACAGCTACATTGCATTTTATGAAGACAAACACAATTTATCCCTTTTCTAGGACTGTAATTGTTGCCCCCGAAACCAGTTTCAATGCAAGGAGTAGCAGGGTCTTACCAGAATCTCACGCAAGCAAAAGACAAAAGAAAACTAAAAAGAAAGTTAATTTGAAAGAGAGTGGAGAAGGGGCAGCTAAACTACACGTGGTGAGCTAAGTTTGAGTAGGGTGACCAACAGTCCTGTTTTCCCAGGACAAGTCCTCTTTTCACGTCCTGTCCTGGCCGTCCTGAAGTGATGAAAATGTCCTGATTTTCAAAAAAAACTGCTGGGAAAGATCAGCTCTGCAGCAAAATATAGATGGGCAAACAAGGAGGATGAGGACGAAAAACAGGATCAAGAGGAAGAAAACTAGATAACTCGTTTTCGTAAGTTTGTGAGAGCTATTTTTGTTCAATTTGGAGGTATTTCGTTTAGTTAATTATGATTTATATATTTATTTTTCTAATACAGAAGAGACATTATTTCATTCATTATTTTTGAAACCTGTCATAATAAAACACGTTGAGGTAGGCCCCGAGAAGCCTATCTGAATTTGTGTCTTACGTAATATAACAATTTTCTATCCATACAGAGAAGGCATAGCCTACTTTAAATGTATTGAAATTAATAAGGCATCTTTGAGTAAACTTCGAGTATCATTTGACTACGCTATCTGTTTGCGGGGCCGAGTGTCCTGGTTTTTACTAATCAAAATATGGTCACCATAAACTTGAGGCAGAGAGAACATCAACCTGACCGTCAAGAACTGTTTGTCTCTCGAAATAAATGATATATAGACATGAATTGATATCTACCTACCCTAGCTTTATCTAGCTAATCGTTTATAAATAATAAATGTTGCAGCTAAACAACAACTTTCGCAGATTATTTACCTCCTCAGCTCGTGTGTCTTTACCGGTCTTTACAGCCTCCCCCTATTGGCCGCATCGGGAACAACAGGGCCGTGTATCACCGGCTCCAGCCTCCACAAACTTGATGGGAAATGCGAACCAAAATGTGAAACCATCGTATATCTCAGTTTCTTCAAAGTGGCCTCAGTCTGTCTATATTCGTGAGGAGTTTATTAACCAGTATTGAATGATGGAGTTCACATGCACGACAGACGCTTACTTTAGTTTATCAGTTTAAACCAAATCAGTTAAAAATGTTTACATTTTAAAAATATATATTTTTAACTCATTTCGTTCACATTACGACGAAAAAATTGTTTCTTTTATGATCATGAGATAAAAGTCAAGACATTTTCATGAAACAGACATTTTCAGTAAACATGTTCAGACATGTCTTACTGAGACTAGACAGACAGACAGACAGACAAATCGAGACAAACAGGTAGAGATAGACAGTCTAACAGGCAAACAAATAGCCAAAGTGAGTTTTCATAGTTTTATATTCTCTCTGACATAAGCAAATTGTTGCTCTGGACCGGGTATGATGGGTCGGGTGAGAGTAGCATATTTGACAATCGTAAGGCAGTCAAATAAGCATTTATTTGAAGAATGCTTAACAAAGCAAAGACTTGATCTGACGCAAGAGGGTCCTGTTACCCGTTCGGGCTCAGTCAGAAAGAAAGAGACATCAAGAGAGACACCTTTAAGGCTACTTTTTTTCTTCTAGAGAAAAGTATGTTAGACATGTCTGCACAACAGCACTCGATACCCTATGAAGAGTAATAAAAAAAGAAACATTTTGCAGTTACGAAAGAGCAACACTTTTATCTTTTGCACTTTTTTACATCCCTGTCCACACAACCAGACAAATATGAATCTTAAAAAAAAGAAAGAACGAAAAAAAGAGAAAGAAAATCAACATGCTTTTTTCTATACATAGCAAGGCAAAAGAATAAGAAAAGCAGGAAATAGAACATTCCTATGTTTAAGAAAAAAACATGGAATATGAACTTCATTTATACAGCTTCAATGGCTGCAATGCACAGACATTATAAAAAAAAATAATAATAAACCATACCCTTAAGCTCCAATCATAAGGATTCACCAGAACAACACAAGATTTAAAATGAAAAACTGCCACCGCGGCTGATTATAACTCGCTATCAAAAGTACAATTACGTTTTTCATTGTCTGTTTTAGTGACTACATTCCTGATTTGTGAACCGATCATACCGTTACCCCACATAAAACCAGCCTCACTCTCCTGCATAAATGGCACATAAATAAAAAAATTAAACTTAAATGGGACGCGTCACAAGGCCGTGTCCCTAATGCACGTCTCACTTGAAGTACTCAAAGGCATTTATTGTCACATCATAATTCCATTTTGAACATCTAACTATTCCCTCACACACGCTCACAAATGTACAGTTCTAAGCTTATACAAAACCAGGAATGCAATGCCTCTGGTGTATAGTTAAGCATGAACAGAGAAAGCCCTTTTTACAATGTTTGTATTTTTATTCTCGGCCGAGCAGGTCCAGAGGGAGTTCGTCTGTAGCAGAACCGGCCCGAGAACCCAGTCCGTAACGGGGCCGGCTCTCTTACAGCGTTACGTTTCTAGGAGGTCCGTAAGCAGCAACAGGTTCTGCTGGTTGATAAAAAAGCAGCGAATTGTGTCCTTTTCATGGCCCCACGAATGCCGAGTGCCTCTCCGAAACCTTTCCACTGCTGCCAATGCACACGTCTTTACGGATCGAGGGAAAAGAGCGAGAGGGAACATGGAAGAGAAAAGAAAAGGAAAAGCGTGGACAGAACACCAACAACGCATTGGCTTGAGAAACTAGTGGAGGTGGAAATTTACAGTCACATGATATAATACTAAACCAAAAGAAATTCCATTGTTAAAACAACAACAAAGATATAAAAATCAAAACATTTCAGTTTTTAATTGCAATACTTGATCTGCACCATGCGAAAGTGATATGAGTTTCTTTTTAAATGTGTAGAAACAAACTAGTCGGACAGAAGTTTAAATCAAAACATTTAATAAAGAGAAAGAAGAATAAGGTTCTTAATAGAATGTTGACGTTCGAATTTGCCGTTTCATTCGTTGCTATAAAATATACATGAATTAAAATAAAAGATAAAATACTTCAGAAACAACAATCATAATAATAAATGCCCCCATCCATACGTTTAATCGGTAACATGAAATATCACGGCCCTTTTACTTGAAGAGGATGCCAAATATCAGTACAAAGTGCATTAAAGGCAGCAGCATTAGAGGGGTGACCGGTGCAAAAGAAAGTGACCAACCGTTGTTTAATATTCTGGAGCAGAAATCAAGAGGTGAAGTTTAAAACCGGACCAGGAAATCCTTCAAATGCGGAATAAAAAAAATTGAAAAAGGAATTAAGTGATGTTGAATGGGCGTTTGGCATTCCTCTCAGTAAACGTGGGCCTTCAACTGCTAGCATTGTTCAGCACCTGATATGATATGTAGATGCGACTCTCACCAATAGGATACAAGCAGAGCGCAACACTGGATATGGCAAACAAGTAAACAATTACAAACCGAGACCCCCCCCCCAACCGATACCAGGGTGATAAACGCACTAGCTTGATAAACCCATGACGTGATTGCTGTGATTTTTGATTCATCGCAGAAAAAAATTAAAACGGCGAACAGGAATGAATATTTCGAAAAGGGACCGACAAAATAATCAACAATAAATTATACTTTAGCAAATTCATTCTTTTTGTATTAAAAACCTCTTGAATATTTAATGTTCAGACACAAACCACCCAACTGCACTGGATAGGCACAATTCTATAATAAAAACAACAATTAAAAAAAAAAGAAAGAAAGAAACGCACACTAAATTTTGTTCACTGCTTCTAAACAGGTCCTCTGTACAATAATAATAATAAAAAAAAATCTTTTGGTTGTGGGATGATAAAAAATAAAGTAATAAAAACTGGCTAAAATCAAAATCAAATGACTCGCATACAGTATGGCGGCAGCAGCAGCAAAAAAAACGAACTTGTAGAAATGTTTTTGTTTTTGCATACAACTGTTTCCTGGTATCGAAAACCCCTGTGACGACAATAAATTGGCAAAATGATTGGAACGTTTTAAGAGCGCCTCTTCAGAATCACTGATGTACATTAATTTTGGCAACAGAAGTCTAGACGTTGTTTTCTACGGGGGGTAAAGGGGACCTAATTGGCTATGATTCCTCCATCAATTGGAACCCAGTTGCGCAGTTTCTTGTCCTAGGTATAGTGAGCGCGACGGAACGGTGGGGTCGCGTGGCGATTGGGTTTCCTCTTTGTACGGTGTGCGAGCGTCTCAGACCATGGCCCGGTAGGGACCCTGCATCTTGAGGAACTGGATGATGAAGGAAGGGCCTCCGGCGACGATCTGCGGTGGGAGGTGGCTGAGGGGGCAGTTCTCGATGCTCATGATGGACAGCTTGCTGCACAGGGCCAGCTCGAACGGCAGACTGTGCAGGTTAGGGTTGTCGTTCAGGTACAGGTCCTCCAGGTTCTCCAGTGTGCCTGTGGGTGGGACGGAATAGGCTGTGAGTGAGTTGCGTATGTGTGTGATGGTACGTTCACACCGGACGCGAATAGCGCATCAGGCGCGAATGATTTCAATGTTAAGTCAATGCAAAGACGCGTTACGCGCGAAAAAATTCCTGCGGCGCGAATGAGGCATGGAGTTCGCGTCAAGTTCACGCGAATTGAGCGTCTGGCGCGTTAAAGCACGATACGCGCGAATGATTTAGTTAGTGCCATTTGTACATTCACGCGTTTGACGCGAATTCGCGTCTGCCGCCCGAGTTGAAAAATCGGAACTTTGGCGTGAATTCGCGCCGCGTTAACCAATCAGGAGCCTAGCTGCTTGCTCACGTGGTGAAGTGTCTGGATGCTTCAATAAATTATTTTGTAATATGACTAAATGCATGGTGGGATTATGCACAACAAAGCAAATATTTTATCACTTAAAACATTATTTCTATATAAGATGTTCATTTTGTATTGAATGTTATTCATTCCATATCTAGATTATATGAAGTATTATGATGTAAAGACAATCAATGTGCATAAGTTCGTGCCTGGACATGAGAGAGAAAAAAAAAAAAAAAAAAAAAAAAAAAAAAATCACAGGACAGGTTAATAACTTTTGAAGGCTGGCTCTATTGATCATCAAAACAAAAATAAATGACAGCTAGATTAGGTGGATGAGGGCGAGGGTGATCCTCGCTCCGATGCGGGACAACAGGTCATCAAACTGGACACGAGACAGGCGGAAGTACCGCTGACAGCGGCCGTCATCCAGCGCAGCTCCTGGAGCGAGCAAATGGTGAAACTCGCCAAACGGTTCGCCTCCGAAGGGTCTGGAGGACACAAATATACGGGGACGATGAACCCCACGCCGCTGTTCTGCTCTCCAGAGTAAATACAGAGCGGTGACTCTCTCGAAGAATGCTCGGTCGACATAAAAACAATGGCCGCCAACGGATTTCGATTCTGACGCGCGTAAATTTCGCTTCAAACTTTTATTTTTACGCGCGTCAGTTTCACTCTTGACACGTGAATTAACACAAAGTGGTCAAGCGTCAAACTAGACGTGTCAGGCGCGAATTTGACACGCGATTCGCGTCCGGTGTGAACGTAGCATGAGTGTGTTTGAGGGCGGTGGGTGAGGTCGTACCGATCTCCTCGGGTAGGTGCTGCAGTAGATTCTCTCCCAAGCCCAGGTACGTCAGGTTGGTCAGGTGACCGATTCCTCTCGGCAAAGTGGTCAGCTGGTTATTGGTCAACACAAGTTTCTGCAAATAAATGCTTGAAATGAGTTTTATAACCAAAACAAATAGTATAACAGCATCCATACAGTTCATCATGTGTCCTTTGTTGCCGTGCATTCTGGGAATGCCCTATCCACAAACAAACTGAAGGGAAAAAAACAGAGTACACCTAAATGGGACATGGGGATGCGAAACAATCGAGATGGAAGGAAAAATTACACTTCAATGCTTTTGCGTTCTGGCCGTTATTTTTAATGTTATTATTTTAATGCTTAGGCTATGCAAACAAAAAGGGAATATTAATGTTAATTTGATTTGTTATTTGTTGGTTTTCGAAATAAAACTCTGTGAACTTATTTCTAAGTGTAGTATCAGTACTTTCTGAACCGTTCCAGCACATTTGAACGAAATACTGTGATCAGTTTATCAGTCCCTCCAGAAAAACGCGATTATGCGATCGCTGAATTCCATGCAAAATCAGCCAAAGTCCGCATATTTATGCGGGGGCCGCATTTTTTCAAATACGCCGCACTTTCGCCGCATAAATTGCCGATTTCCGTGCAAAATATGCGGGGTTTGCATAATTTCATAATCCTCGCATTTTCGTTGCAAAAAAAGTCACATGTATCTTAGCAAAAAGTTGAAAAATGTTGCGTTTGCTTCACACAAGAGCAGCCATTTCCCCCTGTTTCCATGGGAACGTTATGAAGTGATGCAATTACGCGACGCCAGACAGACTCACGGAGGCGATTGACATCTCACAAATCGAACTTGTATAACTGTCTGTCACACGTTCTACCGTCACATCGTTACTTAATAAACAACATAAGATAAAAGAAGTAGCATCAAACAGAAATTACCCGCACACATGGGGCGTTTGAGGCGCACATATAACAATGCAGAGAGTTCAACAGGGAGCGCGCAGCTCTTAAAGGGGCCACACCTTATTTACACTCGTTATAGTCTGAAATAAAACTAGAAAAAAAAGTTTGATGACAAACTTTAAGTTGGCTTGAGAAAGCCGGACCAGAGCGTTTGAAGATTTGAAGTTTGAATGAAGTTTTAAAGATAGATTAGAAAGAAAGAAAGAAAGATGGATAGATTAGTTAGAAAGAAATATAGATAGATAGATAGATAGATAGATAGATAGATAGATAGATAGATAGATAGATGTTTTCGGCAAGAATCTAACATGATTAGCATGTAGCTAGCTTGATGCTAATTTGATTAGCATGTAGTTAAGATGATTAGCATGTTGTTAGCATGATTAGCATGTAGCTAGCATCATAATAGCATGATTAGCATGTTGCTAGCATCATGCTAACGTGTTTTTATCAAGAAGCTAGCATGACTAGCATGTAGCTAGCATCATGCTAACCTGATTAGCATGTTGCTAGCATCATGCTAGCATGTTTTAGCAAGAAGCTAGAATGATTAGCATGTAGCTAGCATCATGCTAGCATGATTAGCATGTTGCTAGCATCATGTTAGCATGTTTTTAGCAAGAAGCTAGCATGATTAGCATGTAGCTAGCATCATGCTACCATGATTAGCATGTAGCTAGCATCATAATAACATTATTAGCATGTTGTTAGCATCATGCTAACATGTTTTTAGCAAGAAGCTAACATCATTAGCATGTAGCTAGCATCAAGCTAGCATGATAAGCATGTTTTTAGCAAGAAGCTAGCATGACTAGCATGTAGCTAACATCATAATAGCATGATTAGCATGTTGCTAGCATCATGCTAGCATGTTTTTAGCAAGAAGCTAGCATGATTAGCATGTAGCTAACATCATAATAGCATGATTAGCATGTTGCTAGCATTATGCTAGCATGTTTTTAGCAAGAAGCTAACATGATTAGCATGTAGCTAACATCAAGCTAGCATGATTAGCATGTTTTTAGCAAGAAGCTAGCATGACTAGCATGTAGCTAACATCATAATAGCATGATTAGCATGTTGCTAGCATCATGCTAACATGTTTTTAGGAAGAAGCTAGCATGATTAGCATGTAGCTAGCATCATGCTAGCATGATTAGCATGTTGCTAGCAAGAAGCTAGCATGATTAACATGTAGCTAGCATCATGCTAGCATGATTAGCATGTAGCTAGCATCATAATAACATGATTAGCATGTTGCTAGCATCATGCTAGCATGTTTTTAGCAAGAAGCTAGCAGGATTAGCATGTAGCTAGCATCATGCTAGCATGATTAGCATGTAGCTAGCATCATAATAACATGATTAGCATGTTGCTAGCATCATGCTAGCATGTTTTTAGCAAGAAGCTAGCATGATTAGCATGTAGCTAGCATCATGCTAGCATGATTAGCATGTAGCTAGCATCATGCTAGCATGTTTTTAGCAAGAAGCTAGCATGATTAGCATGTAGCTAGCATCATGCTAGCATGATTAGCATGTAGCTAGCATCATGCTAGCATGTTTTTAACAAGAAGCTAACATGATTAGCAGAAAGCTAGCATGATTAGCATGTTATTAGCATCAAGAAAGAAAGAAAGAACGAAAGAGAAAGAAAGAATTTTTAGAAAGAAAGATGCATAGATTAGTTAGAAAGAAAGATGGATAGATTTGTTAGAAAGAAAGCTGGATAGATTAGTTAGAAAGAAAGATGGATAGATTTGTTAGAAAGAAAGAAAAAGAAAGAAAGAAAGAAAGAAAGAAAGAAAGAAGAAAGAAAAAAGAAAGAAAGAAGAAAGAAAGAAAGAAAGAAAGAAAGAAAGAGAAAGAAAGTATTGTTAGAAAGAAAGATGGATAGATTACTTGGGTAGAAATAAAGAACGATAGATTTGTTAGAAAGAAAGATGGATAGATTAGTTAGAAAGAAAGATGTATAGATTTGTTAGAAAGAAAGATGGATAGAATTGTTAGAAAGAAAGATGGATAGATTAGTTAGGTAGAAAGAAAGAACGATAGATTTGTTAGAAAGAAGGAACGATAGATTATTTAGAAAGAAAGATGGATAGATTAGTTAGAAAGAAAGATGGATAGATTAGTAAGAAAGAAAGATGGATAGATTAGTTAGAAAGAAAGATGGATAGATTAGTTAGAAAAAAAGATGGATAGATTTGCTAGAAAGAAAGATGGATAGATTTGTTAGAAAGAAAGATGGATAGATTTGTTAGAAAGAAAGATGGATAGATTAGTTAGGTAGAAAGAAAGATGGATAGATTAGGTAGAAAGAAAGATGGATAGATTTGTTAGAAAGAAAAATGGATAGATTAGTTAGGTAGAAAGAAAGATGGATAGATTATGTAGAAAGAAAGATGGATAGATTTGTTAGAAAGAAAGATGGATAGATTAGTTAGAAAGAAAAATGGATAGATTTGTTAGAAAGAAAGATGGATAGATTAGGTAGAAAGAAAGATGGATAGATTTGTTAGAAAGAAAGATGGATAGATTAGTTAGAAAGAAAAATGGATAGATTAGTTAGGTAGAAAGAAAGATGGATAGATTAGGTAGAAAGAAAGATGGATAGATTTGTTAGAAAGAAAGATGGATAGATTAGGTAGAAAGAAAGATGGATAGATTTGTTAGAAAGAAAGATGGATAGATTAGTTAGAAAGAAAAATGGATAGATTAGTTAGGTAGAAAGAAAGATGGATAGATTTGTTAGAAAGAAAGATGGATAGATTAGGTAGAAAGAAAGATGGATAGATTAGGTAGAAAGAAAGATGGATAGATTTGTTAGAAAGAAAGATGGATAGATTAGGTAGAAAGAAAGATGGATAGATTTGTTAGAAAGAAAGATGGATAGATTAGGTAGAAAGAAAGATGGATAGATTAGGTAGAAAGAAAGATGGATAGATTAGGTAGAAAGAAAGATGGATAGATTTGTTAGAAAGAAAGATGGATAGATTAGTTAGAAAGAAAGATGGATAGATTTGTTAGAAAGAAAGATGGATAGATTTGTTAGAAAGAAAGATGGATAGATTTGTTAGAAAGAAAGATGGATAGATTAGTTAGGTAGAAAGAAAGATGGATAGATTAGGTAGAAAGAAAGATGGATAGATTTGTTAGAAAGAAAGATGGATAGATTAGTTAGGTAGAAAGAAAGATGGATAGATTAGGTAGAAAGAAAGATGGATAGATTAGGTAGAAAGAAAGATGGATAGATTAGGTAGAAAGAAAGATGGATAGATTTGTTAGAAAGAAAGATGGATAGATTAGGTAGAAAGAAAGATGGATAGATTAGTTAGAAAGAAAGATGGATAGATTTGTTAGAAAGAAAGATGGATAGATTTGTTAGAAAGAAAGATGGATAGATTTGTTAGAAAGAAAGATGGATAGATAGATAGATAGATAGATAGATAGATAGATAGATAGATAGATAGATAGATAGTTCATTAGTACATATAGAATGGTAGTTTAATTGAGTCTAGGGCTTCAGGGAATTTAGATTTGAGTTTTTGTTGTACGCTATTGGGCCACCGTAGTCTTGGCTCAATTTGACCATGCTACAATGAAAGTCAATGGGATTTTTATGATTTTTAATATTAATTTTTAAGAAATCTGAAAGTCGAATCAGTCTAAAAAGATATAGCACACTAAGTCAGAACAGTCTGAAGGTCTGACCCGAGTTTGGAGTTTGTAGAGTCAAAGCTCTAGGAGGAGTTAGAGTCAGAAAATTTTGAGTAAGAAGAATAATAATAACTAGAAAAAAAAGTTTGATGACACAAACTTTAAGTTGGCTTGAGAAAGCCAGACCAGAGCGTTTGAATAATCTTGAAGTTTGAATGAAGTTTTAAAGATGGAATTAGAAAGAAAGAAAGAAAGAAAGAAAGAAAGAAAGAAAGAAAGAAAGAAAGATGGATAGATTAGTTAGAAAGATAGATTAGTAAGAAAGAAAGATAGATAGATAGATAGATGTTTTTGACAAGAAGCTAACATGATTAGCATGTAGCTAGCTTGATGCTAATATGATTAGCATGTAGTTAAGATGATTAACATGTTGTTAGCGTGATTAGCATGTTGTTAGAATCATAATAGCATGATTAGCACG